CTTATAACATTTTGTGCAGCTATGGCTTGGATCGATTTAGAGTAACTCGAGAGTGCCTGTGTGGCACAATCTAGTGGAGCACTCCCTTAGGACACTGGTGTTCCTTGAGTGCGGTATCCTTGCGCTCATTATCAACAGGTCATTGGCGGACTCCACTGAGGGCTGGCTGAGCATCAAGGGCAACCAGGCACTGTCTTCCAAGGGACAGGAGCACTGGGGAGGACAGAGATTGAATTGCAACTCTGCAAATGATGTGCTACATTTTACTGTATACATACAGAATTACAGAGTTTATAATAGTATATCGTGTATATATATATATTCATATATATGTATCTCCTTGCTCAATAAAATCATGCACCCGCAAGACATCAGGCGCCCGCATGCTTCTGCAGTTGTATTCGCACCATTTTGGCTTCCTCTCTCGTCTCCCTCGCCGCGTGTTCGACTCCGCGACTCCGAGGTCCGACCGCTCAACACGCATAGCGAATCGCACCCACCCAGCCGTTGAACAGGATGAAGCGTCCGTGAACTCTACGGACCCGCAAATAGATACTCAGATCTACAGATCCCCACGTCGAACATGTATTGGACACCGATGGAAGTCGGAAACCGATATATTTGGCATCACTATCGAGCCCCGATCCGCCGTACCGCATTGGACCTTTTGGCGGATCGGTGGCGCGTCGGCGAGCCTTCGTGTGCAGGGCTCGATCTTCCTGAAAGAAACCGAGAAGCCCTTCTACTCCGTTGTAGGCACCGATGAGGTGCGAAGCAGTTTCTGAGGTGATGGGAGAAACGGAAGTGCCGAACCCTGGACCCTTTGGTTTCCTTGTTTATCTTGTTTTTTCAAGGATCATGTCCCATTCTCTTGCATTGGATCCTTTTGGAGGGTTTGGGTCCGGTCTTTGTCCCAATGAGTTTGTGTCAAATCATGTGGAAATCGATGGACATTGGATGACCTTGGTCAGGTGGGCTGCCATCTCCACACCTACATGGACGCTCATGTCCCCAGTGGAAATTCAAATCTTTACAGCGTGTAGTAGATTCTAAATCGTAATAATTTAGTATCAGGAACTTGCCACGAATGGTATCGGAGCGGTGACTGTCCGGGAGAGGTTGACAAGCTTTCGGGGAAGAACCGGCCGTTGGGAGGTGCGAATGGACCCAGACTTCAAGGTGGGCGAAGGCGAACCCGTGAAGATGCTCAAGACCGGTGAGGCCACTGGTTGGTGGTTCGCATGGTTGTTGGATGTGACAAACACGAGGGCTGAAACATGCTGCGACGATCTGCGACGTTTTCGGTTGTATTCGAGCCCGAGAATATTGATATAGCCATGAAGGATTCCTGAGAGAATCTGTTTTTTTGCAGAGATGCGTTGCCAGTTTTGGTAAGCATGAATGTATCAATCAAACCAAGAAGCACATTTGATAACTGAAGTCTTGGAGCTGTCATCACTTTTTGAAGGAACCATAGATTATCACAGAGATGTTTAGCTGACAGGGTAGAAAAGAATCCATTAGGCCATTAGGCCATCCTGTGTTCCATGGTATTGCTGAGGGTACCTGCAAAACAAAAGTTACCAGAAATTCCATGGCAAAGGGATGCAAAGAGTGTAGCTGAGGCAGAATGCATCAGTTTGCTAATTGACACTATTTTATAACAGAAAACTGTTGGTGGGGAGAGGGTTTGGCTCCAGTCATTTGGTTTCATGGGTGGGGCCTGACTATTTTATAGAAAGGATAATTAGCTGGAACAGAGCAGGAGAAGGAGGTCTAGAGATGTATTATGTGGATAGAATAGCTGATACACATGGCTATTTGGGGTTTAGTTGGCAGGGCATGCTAAACCTAATGGTTTCATCTGTAGTTTGGGGGGGTGGGACCTGGCCATTTTATAGAGGAGAACTGTTGCTGGAGGATGGGGTTTCATGGCTAGGAAGGTGGTGCAGTTTGAGAATTTAGTAGAAGGGTGTTCTCATGTGTTTGGAATTGGTCCATTTATGACATGTTTGTGTTGCATATATTTTGTTGTGTTTTTTTGATTTTTGGATGGTTTGAGGCAGGGGTTTGTGTGTTTTTTTGATTTTTGGATGGTTTGAGGCAGGGGTTTGTCCATCCATGCAAACCTTGGATGCAATATTTCTCTTAATTGACGTCATTTTATGCTGCCATCAGTGCCCTTAGTGGCTTGTGGTTTGATGGATTGATGAGAAGACCGATGGAAAGGAACATGCAGTCTTTGAGTGAATGAAACACGGAATCAGGCATCACAAACTGACGTGGAGCCTAGCCATTTTATATAAGTGCTAGGGTACGTCCCTCCATCAAAGTATACAACCCAGGGGGGCCACCCCTAAACTGTTTATATCCATAAAACGGCTAGCAGGTCCCCCCCTGCCTGAACCTACATGGGTATATATTGATTATGGACACATGAGGCCACTCATTTCACAATCAAGCCCATCAGCGATGGGCCAATTCCAGGTCCAGGTTTTATCCCAATTGATCCCAATTGTAAGTTTGCATTTTGTGGAACGGTGTGTGCGTTTTTGAGTTTAAGAGTGGAACTGAACTGAAAAGGAGCCTCCCCACAAGCAGTTTCGGATGTCCCAGTGGTTGAGGACCTCATCATCCTCTTGTCGGCTGGCCAAAAACTCATCGACTGAATGTGGCAGGTCCTGGAGATGCTGGAAGGTCCCAAGAAAGAGACTTTCCCACCCGGCCTCCGCGCAAAAGGGAAGGCCAGGCCTTCAAGTGGGGTTTGAGGGATTTTGAGGGTGTGACGCGATGGAAGGAGGCGCTTTCGGATGTTTTCGGTGTTCACTCACTGCTCACACGGACCGGAGGAACACACCATGGATTGTCGACGTTCTTTTTCCTGGTTGGCATAGCCAACTGCTGTGGTTTGGTTCATATCACGCATGCCCCCGAGAAACTTTGAGGCTACACAGCAAGCAAGCCTAGGTGAAAGCAAATACTGTACATATATCTGATCATATCTGTACATGAGTCTGTACATCGTTGTACATCCAATAATATTTTTGTTATAGAACCTCAGGCACGTGGAGATGCAAACTCGTTGTCTCGGCGTTCGAGACCCGAAACTCCTCCTGTGAACCAGGGGCACGGGGGGTTCAGAACGACACCAAAGTTGTGTGCTGTTTGTTGTGCTGATGACCAGGAATGGTGGAAGCGGTTGTTTGGAATACTGTAGATATTTTTTTATCCAGTGTTATGCCCTTGAGGGCAATGTTCATTTTTTTTGCACGGGTGTAGTACACCGTGACCTTGGGCTTGGTCAAAAATTACGCCCAGGGCATTCACCTGACGAGCAGTTCTTGAATGCAACAAGTTGTCCTGGAACTTGTTTGGTGATACAGTATATGTTTTC